TTTTTTGGTCGCTACCCGGAATCGAACCCGGGACCTTTGAATGAGAGGCCAACACCTTAACCTCTAGGCCACGAGAGCCCCAGAAATATAGTGATTGTACCGAAGTTTAGAGATGTCACAAGAGAATGACTGCCGTGCTTCCTCCCCTCTTCCAGAAAATAAGAACACAAAACGAATACTACTACTACGACTAATAATAATAAAAGAGAAAGAGGAGAGTTCAAGACGATGGGTATTTGGCAGGAAAGAAGGAGCAAACCGCACAAGAGCAGCCGCCAACCACCCACATCCACATGGTTTTAATTCCTCTTTCCTATATCTTTCAAACCTAACACAAGCGTGTTTGATTTTGTATTACTAACCTTTGAGCCCTGACTGCTTTGCGGCTTAGATAAGACTGTTTCTCAATACGTTATTGCAGTTTCCGGAATTTCCGTATTGTCACTACTCGTGACATTCAGTCAACCCCAAATCGAAGATTGTTAGCGGGGTGTTGGTGGGCTGGCTGGGCATTACAAATATCTATAAATAGAGGTCTTTCTTATAGTGGTTAGGCTATTTATGTAAGCTGTTTCTTTCTCCTTCCCATACATGTATTTTTTACACGCATTCTTTTTCACCCCTGCTCCCTCCCAACGCCCCCCCCCCCCTCTCTCTCTCTCTCTCTCTCTCTCTCTCTCTCTCTCTCTCTCTCTCTCTCCTTTCCCCCTCTCTCTTTATATGCCAGTTTGAACATGTACAAGTACACGGGGTTTTGCATATTCTTGTGACGAATTCGTGTTTATGAGTGTGTATGTGTTTATGTAAAGGATTGTTGTTGAATGTAAAGAAAACAGAATGCATGGTAATATCCCCCCCCTCCCTAAAAAAGCAGCAAATCCTAGGTGTAATCTCATTAGCAAAGGTGAAAAGATCAAGCAAGTCCAACAGTTTAAATATCTAGGATGTATAATAACATCTGATGCCAAATGTTCCACAGAAATAAAAAGGAGAACTACAATGGCTAAGGCTAGTTTCAATAAGATGAGCCCAATCCTGAAAAAAAGAAAACATCTCAACACCAAAATGAAAGTCCTGAAATGCTATGTTTGGTCAACCCTTCTATATATGGCTGTGAATGCTGGACAATCACTAAAGACAGTGAAAATAAAATTGAAGCAACAGAAATGTGGTTTCTTAGGAGACTACTAAGAGTATCGTGGAAAGAAAAGAAATCAAATGTGGTAGTG